GATTTTTATAAACACAGGCCTTAAAAAAAAAAAAAAAGTAAATGGTGTATGGAATGTTTTGGCTAATTTCAAAAAATTTTATGGTCTTGAATTCCAAAATAACATCCATTTTGCACCATTAGCTTTAGTTTTCCTGTGCCAGAATACCATATTCTACTTGGGGGGAAGAAAAAGGGTGATCATGATTGGGTTAAGTTAAAAATCAAATACTTGAAATTGGTGATCATGGCAAAGAACATTTGCTTATTTGATTTTTGGGAAGACTGAGTAGACTTGAACCCCTTTTTTAATTCCAACTGTTGTAAGCCATCATTATTTTGTGCCATCTTCCTTGATACTGTTCCTTCCATAATTTTAATGTCCTAGCCGAATTTTCCACCTAACATCACCCAAATTAAATTCTATCATGGACAAACTCCAGTTTCTATCACAAATGTTGGATAGAGATTATATAAGGACTTACATCTAAGGACTTTATATGGTTTCCATTCATAACTTCAAACAACACAATTATACTATTATTATCATCAGGCATTATTATAATGAAAAAGCTAGCTGTTTGATCAATTAGGAATTCAATAATATTCATGTATTTCTGCAGATAATGTTCAAATTAATTCTGAATGCTATTTGGTTAGAGTCAAAAAAAAAAAAAAAAAAAAAAAAAAAAAAAAATTCTGTACATTGAAATGTGGAGCTAACCAGTAAAATGGACTTGATTTTTAAAATCAGTGTTACAAAATTAGCTAAGAAAAACAAGTGTTGGTTTGCACCAATTTGTGTGTTGCCAGTGTAATTCAAGCTCACTAAACTGGTGAAGGAAATGACCAATGTAATGTGGTTTTTATAATCAGAGCCAAAGGTTAGGAGTGTTCAACTAAAGCAATTATAATTTATACTTTATCAAACACATAAAATGTAAGTCAACATATCAAGGAATTTTAATTTTTTTTTTTACTTTTATCCTTCTTTCTTAGTAAGGAGATATATCAGTGTCATGGCAATTGATAGCATTACCCAATAGGGATAAGCAAACATGCCTCGTTACCATAACAGAATATCACTAGTAAGTAGTGAAATCAAATTGTTGATATATTGTTTCTCATTTCATGTCGGTGTTCTTTCGATATTTTTGACGATTTAAAAATCAGAATTCATTCTTAAAGTGAAAATAGAGTTAATTATATAGATGAAAATCCTAGATTACACATGCAAAATTATAACTCATGTAATGGCAAAATTATTTAATATGGTCATATTTTGATGGTATGGGTCATATTAGCTTTCTTTGGCTATTATTACTTTTAATTCTTTCTTATGTATGAAAATAGAATTAACCGTGTTATATGCTCGTTTTCATTTCAATCCAAATAAATCAGAGTTGATTTTATGATTTGATAACCAATTGGTTGAGTAAACTGAAATTGCAAAACATTTTCCATCATTTTGTGACTGACATTGTTACTATTAGATAAAAATCCTAAATTACTAAATTTATTTTGATTTTATGATTTACAGGAAAGAACAGAATCAACCAAAAAACCGTCATTTCGGAATTCTTGATAAAATCCAAAGAATCTGCAAGGTTATCAGTCATGACCTGGCATCTTGGTTTCAGTCACTTTCCCCACTTCTGTAATGTAGTTTCCTCTGTACTTTTTTTTTTTTAAATATATATTCATAGGGTAATTGTTCTGATGAGATTTCCTTTTTAGTACTTCAGCTTTATGAGTTTAAGTGCAGTACTAGCTTGGTTGGCAAGGTTTCATCATTTTACAGTTTAAATGGACAGATGTAACCTTAAGTTACATGTTAAGTGTTCCTTCTTTTTTTACTTATCACATGTGGAAATATCTTCCAGTTTCTTGCTTTCCAGTCAACTTTGATCTTCAAAAATTTGAATGCAATATTAATTTTCTTTTGTCAAAATTCATTTTCTTTTATTTTTCTCTCTCTCTCTCTCTCCTTAATGTTTTTATATTCTTTCACACTCAGTAGCCCCTTACATCTTGGGGTGAAATTACTATTGAAAAAGAAATACTAGATTACTCATACTTTGATGGAAAAGACTCGTGTTACCTTTCTCTGGAGATATATATACTTTTGACTTAAAAAGCAGTATTTATATTACATTTGCTAATATAGTTATTTGTAGAGATAAATATTACCTTTTTCAAAATTTAAATATTTGTCTTTTTTTTACTTTTATTATAGTAAAACTAAATAGTATGTGCCTTTAGTATTTATTGGACAACCAGTAGCAATTCACTTTTTGAAACAAGAATTGCAATAAGGATCCTGAATTATCTAAAATTAAAGACCATTTTATTTGGAGGTGTGACTTAATAAAAAACAAAAAACAACTCACTTGTTCCATTCAGGGAGTGTCTTCTTGTAAATAGAATCTAATGGCAGCACTTGCTGTTTGCCACCAGTTTCATTGTAGATTTCTTTGGCCTGTTAACAAAAATATATACTAATTTATAGGAATAACAAAAGTGTACACAAAAATCAAGACTTTTGTAAGTTTCACTTATGGCCTTTTCTCCATTTATCCTAAGATTAAAGTAAACTTCAAAAGATTAGTAAATGAAATGGATTTATTATTAGAATAAGTACTTAAGATTTGCTAACCTAAGTCTTACTACATAAGGTAATTTCATAATTACTTTTTAGGACATAGTGAAGTTAATCTGATGAAGAATCATTGAAAACTTAACCTTTTTTTTCTTAAGGATAAATGTTAGGCCTATAAAGTTTTATAATTCAGCAGTGACAAAGTAGAATGATTTGTATCAAAGCAGAAGAAAAAATTAATTAGAAATAGTTTCACATGAAGACAACACTTGCCTTCTTTGTGGTTGTCGTAACCACACAATCCATATCTGCAGACATGTGCCAAGAAAGAACACGAGCAATATCTTGGTCTTCTAATTCAGCAAGATGACCAATCTGGAAGAGATGAAGAGGACAAAGAGAAAATGTTAAAGAGTGAGTGTAAAATGGAGAAAGAAAAGAAAAGAAAAAAAAAATTCCAAGACTTTTCAAGGGTTTTTCCAGGACTATGTTAAGAAATTTCAAGGACTGAAACTGGTGCATGTGAATGGTGATCAATATCAAAAACACAGACTGTGATTTATCTTTTAATCAGTTTAACAGATGAGATGGTCAAAGAAAAGCTACAGCTGGTTCCAATAATTCATATCACATTGATCAGTTGAAAGCAGTGAAAAAATCAAAATGTTTAAAGCTGAATGCAGACCTAGTTATGTTACATTTTTACTGCTACACATTGCAGCTATCTAGAATACCCATGGTTTGTGAATATCAAAAATTCTTGACTGCTGTACATTTCCTATGAAGTTATGTGTAGTGGTTTTAATGAACACAACTATAGATAGGAATTTTCAAAAAAAAAAAAAAAAAAAAAAAATACTACTTATGGCATTTGTTGCACAGGAAACAATGTTAACATTTTTTCAGTTCATCTAGTTTAGCATATGAATTTATCCTTTTCAGATCTTCACATGGCAGTGTTCCGAGTCTGCTCAGCTTGAACAAATCTTGTGTTAAACTTTCAAGCTTGTGTTTTTTGGTTTTCAATTCTTCAATTTCCATAAGCATGGAAATCTGTTTTTGTCCAGATGCTTCTTCCTGCTTTTTTTTTTTTTTTTTCCTTGTCCTCAAGGTGTAGTTGTACGAGTTTCTGGAATTGGAAGCACTGCAGAGAAGAGCCTTAGTTGTGGAAACATTCTCAGGACCTCCAATAGTCTGTGATAATGTGCTGTGCAAGCAGACCCTGCTGTTTCATATTGTCAGTGAAAATTTCCTTATTGACTGAGAAACCTCTCCACTGAGGTATGTCCATGAGAGAGTATCAGCAATCTGCAAACAACTTTCCAGTTCCTAATATTCATTGGTGCTATACAAAGAAGAGTAGAACAAAAGTGTCCAGACAGTCTTCATGCTTGCTGAAATTCTTGAAAGCAATATTTCCAGCAGCCTCCTCCAACTTTTTGTACTGACTGCTGATGTCATCACAAATCAAAGACTTGCCGATTTGTTTTCTGTCCATGTGAGAAAGATATCTTTTCAGACTGTCTTCTGCGGCAGATTTTTCTTCACAAATGGATTCAGGGTTCAGCCATGCAAGTTTTCCAGAAGTTTCTCACTGATAGCAATGAAAATTGTCATTGTTGCAATTCTGCATGCAAACAGATCTTTTGTTGGCACATTGCATTTTTTGATAAATTTTGTATAACCCTATCTGCCATAAATCCACATTCAATCTTTGCAGCATCTTTATGCATATTTGGAAAATGTAATTATCTTTTTAGGGTGATCTTCCTTTACAAATCTTAACAGATTCATGATCATGCTAAAAAGATCATCTGCAAAGAAAATATCAGTGATTAAACCGTTTCCTATCAGAAATGATTCAATGCCTTTTGGAAAATACTGTTAATTTTCAAGGACCTGTATGAATCCTGTAAAGAGGACAAAGGATCATGAAACTCTACATGTGTGCAGACAGGTGAATTGGCACACAAACAAAAAACTTGCACCAATGATAAATGCATATAAAAAAAGAAAAATCAAGTATAAGCAGTTAAATGCCAATACCCCCAGTGAGTCAGTGTATGAAACTAACATCAGGATGCTGAAGGTAACATTAATCAGCTAAATGAAACCTATATAGCTGTAAAAACAATATAAATAAAAGACAAAAGAAGGAAAACTTTTCTATGTATAAATGCAAATTATAAAATAAAATTTCATATTTACCTTGAGAAATTTCCTCAGGAGTCAAAATGCATTTGTAAAGAAAAGTTTTCCTTCCATCTTACCTGTGCATGTGTGTGTAATATATATATATATATATATATATATATATATATGTATATATATATATAATATATATATATATATATATGTCTGATGTGTGTTTCCATCAATGTCTCAAGTAGTAGTGTTTCTTGGGCTGCCCTTTGCTTAAGAGTTGATGTTGTGAAGCATTTTTTTTTTTCACTATATCTAGGTAATTTGGGCATTGAGCACTTTACAGAGACTAGGTAATTGTTTGCCTTTTGATCTTCCATTCTTTACTTTCCTTGCTTGAGACTATTCTGGTCCAAGTTGTTGAATCCTCTGGCAAGTTGTCTGTTGGTCACACCAACACTGTTTTTCTTTAGTGTTTGTGTATATATATATATATATATCTCAGATCAGTGGTTCCCAAATGGTGCATTGTGCCTCATAGGTGTAGTGAGATAGCAGATGATGCAGAATGATTGAAAGAAAGATTTAAAGACAGTTTCAAAAAATTTATATGCCAAAAATAAATGATTAAGATTTAAAATATTATGTATTACTTGTAATTGCATGCATGAGTTCTAGTATAAATAGTCATAAATAATTAATGACTGATTTTATCATTGTGGTATTTTTGCATTATATTAAGTATAAAGAATATAATAATTAGGATCTTGCAAATTGGAGGTGAGTGTTATCAATGATAATGTTCTCACCTCGAATCTGTGGTTATCTTCCCTTTTAAAGCTCTCTCTGAACCTTCTTGCACCTTTTCACCGGGACTTCACTTTGGTGAGGTGTGAGAATTTTCAATCTGAAAATGCAGCCCAGAGAGAAAAAAAAGTTTGGGAACCACTATATTACACAACTAATTTGTTGAAATTCTACTGAATCTACTTGGGAGAGAAAATATAACAACCAACAGATGGACATCTTTTGATAGTATTGAAACCCAATTTTATGTATATTTCACTTATTCTAATTTTAGAAATTGTCCAAATATGGCTTTCTGAATATTAGCCCATGGCATTGATTGATTACACAACAAACCTTACTGTTTACTTGCCAGATTCATCAAGAAATCATCCAGTGAAATTAAACAAAGGATAAGGCTTTCAACAGAGTGTGTCTTGAGGAATGAATGTTGATAGAGAATGAAGTTACTTTAAGTAATGTAACAAACAGAAGGTGAAATATTCTTTGTATGTGTGGGTGTTACTTACTTTCCCCAAAATCTCTGGGTCTCCGCTAGGTGTTTGTACAAGGCCACAGACACGTCTGGGTCGAGTGAGTAACTCATCACGTTCTTTCATTCTTGTTTGAAGCAGGTTATCAATCTGTTCAAGTGACTGTAATTGAGACATGGGAATGTTTTGTTTGCGTAATTCCATCCGAAGTTGTTGTTCTTGTTGATTCGCTTCATGGTGTGAAACTAAAAATGACAAAATCCAACAAACAAATTGATGAAATTATGGACTGTGTGTGTCAGTGAAAAAAAAAAAAAAAAAAAAAAAAAAAAGGGAAGTGTCAGAGAATAAATCAATGAAATAAAAAATTTTTCAAGAGACAAGTATTTCTCAGATGGATTACATAGTGCCTCCAATTTCAAGATGTATTTTGCTAACCGGATGAAAATTAAAAAGATATTAACACTAATATATATATATATATATATATATATATATATATATATATATATATACATATACACACACACACACACATTTATTCCCAGATCAAATTTGGGTTTTTTAATGTAACTATAACAACAAAAACATTTCGATTTCATTTTTGCCTTGAAAAAGTCGGAAGATGAAACGTGTCGGCAAAATCTAAGATTTTTTTCCAATTATCATTTTATACCATTATATATATATATATATATAATACACATAATGCGCCCTCCCCCAACCTACCTTTGGCACAGATACCCCTCTGCTATTATAAGTTTTATGCACCCATGCAATCCTTGGGCAGCAAAAGATTGTCCTTTTGCCATGAGAGTGCATGAAACTGATAATAATAGGTGTAAGAATGGTTTATTATTATATTAAATTTTCAGGTGCTGTATTTTGTTTTACATGGAAGAAAAGTGCTTAATCATGTATCCACTTTTGTGCAATGAAAATTACAAGCAAAACCATGCTTTATGTTACTATTTCCCCTGACTAAAAGTTTCATGTAGACACTTGGATGTTGAGATCTCACATCTTCAGGCAATAAGAGTGAGGTTATATCCAGTTTCTTATAAAGATAAGAAACCAAGTATTTTGACACTCTTATCACTTGAAGATTGGAAGATAACAGCATTAACATCCAAGTGTCCACATGAAACTTTTAGACAGGGGAAAGTAGTAACATACAAGTATGATTTGGCTTATATTTTATATTGGCTCTATTTTGTATATTTTACATTGGGCACTGTCTTTATAGCATCCCTATTTGCTTTTATTATATAAATAAATAAAGTGTGGTCCCTAAATGTTACACACCTATATTACCATTTACATTTTGAATTTTCTAGTCATATTAGCAAATAAAAAAAAAAAAGAAAGGGATCAGACTTACTTTTCAGCTCATTTATTAGTTGTTCTGTGGTTTCAAATAATGAGCGATAGGCTTTGATGGCTACCTGGATTGTATCTCTTTCTTTGGACAAAGCAGCCATACGAGATTGTTTTTTGGAATCTGAATAAGCAGGAAATGAAGACAATGTTAATGGAGTCAAAGTGGCAAATGACTAAAGAATAAATGAAAGTGGAGAGAGAGAGGGAAAGAAAATTACTATAGGGAGGCATTTAAAATTCCAATAACAACAGGATTTTTTTTTTTTTTTTTTTTTTTTAACAACAATGCATTTGATATTCTTAAACTAAAAGCACACTTTTTCAATGGCTTCTGAAGGCCGAGAAATTCATAAAATTATGCGAACATTGTATAACTTAGGAGGTTTTACTGGAAATTTAACAAAGTACATACTATTTCTGCTTGTTAATTTCCCTTGCAAAAAATAAGATAGAATTTAAATTTTTCACATCATACATATGCACAAACAATGCTACGTGAAAATACTGGGCACCATAAAAGGTTTGAGTAAAGACAAAGGGCTTTCTTTTAACATATTTACTTTCAAGTTTTGCCATTTTTTGGGAAACTTTATATTTTCATTCTCCTATATCTTTTGAAATAATTGTTCTTGAGGCCTTTTTCAGTCTCCCAGGGAACAGAATTTAGTTTTTAATTAAGGGAATGCTGTAAAGACCAGAATAAATAGTAATCTGAGCAAATAATACCAGCTAGATCATTTCTGCCTGATCACCAAAGAAACATGTGGTCTAGTGTCATATTGATGAGACACAGAAAAACCTGGTGTTGAAAAGCTCACAGCTTGACCAAAAAGGGATTTCAAAACTAATTCTGACATTTAGGGAGTGAGTTGGGCTGAGAACATTTTAACTCCCACCCACATGCAGTACAACTAATTCCAGATGCTTTTCACCTATTGCTGACTTCAGCTAGCCTAATTGGAAAACAGTTATTCAGAAAGAATGGCCTCATTCTCCAGAAAGAGCTCAATTGCAGGAAACACTTCTAATTGCAATAAATACATGACAGTACAATTAGTTAGGATTCATTTTGATTGCTTCATGATATCTTGTTTATGTTGTAAAATAAATGCTTCATCTGTCAAATAGGTTTAAAAACAAAAAGACTCCAGTATTTTCTCCAACTTTTGCATGGATACCCGAGATCAAGAGGGCTGACATAACCAAACTGAGGTAAGAGATTTTTAAGGATTTTTTTTTTTATTCAATTCACCCAAAGCAAGGCAACAATGTCACATAGATGCAAGGGATTACTTGGAATAAAAGATAATGAAAGAGACTTTAGAAGGAATTGGAAACACCACTACTCCTGTACATAAAAACTGGGGAGGAGTGTGAACTAGATGATGGGCAAACCCATCTACTTATATTTACACTGGTTACCTCTCCACTTCAAGGTGACAACTTTTTTTCTTTTTTCTTTTTATCTAATAATGCAAAATTCTTTTTTTCCACGTAAAACATCCTAAAAACTGGGAAGTGCGGGTATCACCGATTTTTAGCAAACCTAGTAATAAAAACAAGAACTGGTAAGAATTAAAAGACAAAGAAAATAGTAGGAAATTTAAAGAATTCTTATTTAACAAAATTTTATTATAAAAAAGTAAATAGAATTTGTGAAATAAAAAATTTAAAACACGATTATAAACGTTAAGAAAAGAAAAATAATAGTGTAAATGCAAAGGGAGAGAACTCCGTCTTCATCCACCAACACAGCAGAATATAGTTTAGACATATGAATATCAAGTAGATTGGCAGGTGTATTACTGGAGAGGCAATTACCAAGGTAACAACAAACCAGATTATACTGCAGCACTAGTGAAAGGTGGTACTATGTAATTAGTTACCCAAGATATTTCAATGCAGCACCCCACCTCATTAAAAGACCAATAGCAGCAGGGGCTAAATCCTTTATAGTCTAGTAGTTGTTGGTTCAAAAAGATTTAACAGACCAGGTCAGTAGAGTTGGACAAAGACCAGACAGAGCAGTGGAGACAAGAACATTACAGTTAAGTTCATTTTTATTTTATTCATAAATTCTAAGCTTAATTAACTGTAATAAATTAAAATCTGAACAAAAATGTAACAAGTCGTCTATTGAACAACATGCAACAGATATTTTTCATGACAATATTGAAAATTGTCCAACATGAAAGGGAAGGAAATTATTGCTATTTATATATACTAAATCTAGATTAGTTTAATTTATACTAAATTTAGAATCTTTGAATTGCCTGTATGACATTGAGAGCCAAAATAAATCTTGTTTATAAATGATCAATCTCAATTCAGTATCATTTAAAATTTATTGCTTTAAAATATCTGAGTGTCTTTTTTGATAGATACACTTGACTGCCTTTGTAATGACAATGGCACAACTGTAATGGATTGGCTAAAATGTTTGACATTAGTGGTTTACTTCATTTAAAAAGAATGCTTTGAATTTTGTGACAGTAGTTATATCAAGGCTCATTTTTTTTTTTTTTTTATATAAACATTTATACCATATGCTTTTCACCACCACCACCACTAAAAAAAAAAAAAAAGTGAAAAGTGGTGTATCATTAAAATTTCAAAGATTTCTTTTGGAACAATGCTCCACAGTTGGGTAGACTGACTGTGGTTGATAGTGATCAAATGTAGGCCATTATTCTCAAGAGATAATGAGCCAACATAAAATATCAAGCATTGAAAAAAATGCAGTTGTACTGGCAAAGATTTTTGTTAGTGACTTTGATGCATGAGTGGGAAAATAAACTGACTGGATTAGATTTAGATGTTTGTTTTTAAGACTAAATATGACAGGTAATGAAAATAAGTAGATACACAAGCGATCATGGGGTGGGATGTGGGAAGAGGGGCAAGTGAAATGAACCACCACTAAAGTTTAGCCTTCATCCAATGTAAGTGATGCTATATCTATATGTGAGTTTGGAACAGAGTCCCCTACTATGAGTTCTATTCAAATATTTTGTACCTACAGGAGATGCTTGGAAGGGAATCCCCTACTATGAGCTCCCTTCATTCAAACATGTACCTACATAAGATGAAGACAGCAATCAATGAAAACTAGCAGGAATGAGTTAAAAAAGAAAGAGTCACGATTCTTTGGTTGGTAGTTTTTTTTTTTATTCATCTGCAATATTCACAAGATAATGCTCCTTTGGGATAACCATTCATTCAGGTTTTTAAAGTAGTTAAAATAAATGTCAATTCTCAAGAAGACTGTAAAAGGAACATTGAGTTGTTCTTTGCTAAGAAAGTGGGAATTAAAAACTTGTCCAAAACAAAATGGTAAGCATAACATCCAATAAAGTTAATTGGAAAGAAATTAACTGTCTGATTTTGATTTAAGAAACCAAATTAGCCAATATGCTTTTTGTTAAGTTGCAATCAGGTTATTGGTGAAGATTTTATAGTTTTTTTTTTCTTCCATTTTTTTGTTAATAAACAAAAATTACAGAATAATTTGAAATCACAAAAAAGTAGGTAAATATTGATAAGTATTGTATGTAATGAAGATTAAAACTAATTTTTATGCTTTTTATCCAAGGATAAAAATGATTGGGTAGAAAATGTATACAAACAGATAAGGTTGAGTTAAAATGTAATTCTTTTATTTAAGAATACAAGAAAACACCAATGCTAGTTTTGGCATTACATGTGTTGTGTTTTTAATTAAAACTTTTTCTTTTTAAGTCTTAAAGCAACTTTTGAAAGAATTCACTTGTCCAAACACAATCAACTTCTATAGCTAACTGATGATAAAAGCACATATGTCAAAAACCATATTAAAAAAAAAAAAAAAATCAATTGTTAAATGTACATCTTATTCAGCTGAATAGCAAATGTATAGGGAGTCCAACATTTCCCTGGGAACGGTGTAATATGCAAGGCAATATATATTCTGTTTGAGATGCTTTAAAACAAATAAAGTTTAATGAAGTAGGTTTGTAATGTAAATATTTATAAAAGAATTTACTGAAGTTAAATACACCCTCACTTTAGAAAGAGAGAGAGTGTGTGAGAGTGAGGGAGTGAGAGAGAGATTTACAATATAACTGACAAACCGATTTACAGTCATAAATTTAATTTCCTATTTTGAGCAGATACATGTGTAGCACTGCCAGGTGTGTTTATAAAAAAAACATCTCTTAGTTTAGAGGTGAAAGTCAGGGTAAGAAGCTGTATTTTATTACTGGCTGAAAATAAAACACCATCAAGTTGTTAAGCGTAGGAAAGAAAAATAAATCACTTCTCCCATCATTGGGGATAATTTATCATCTATTCATAATAGGATTAGGTGTAAAAGAAACTTTCATTTAGAGAAGAAAAGCTTAAGAAAAAAAAAAAAAAAAAAAGTTTTTTTTTTTATAAAAAGGAAGTATTATTAACAGATTTAAAACAGTATTAATAATCTTAACAAATCATAATAATAAAATGAATAAAATATTTAAAGAATTATGAAGAGAGAAGAGGATCAAAGAGAAAAATATTAGCCCCACCATTTTATTGATTTATGTGTGTTTGTTTATACAAAGCTCAATATCTGACAGCTCAGTAGTTGTCCAGTGTGAAACCTCATCTTCGTCGCCTCAGGTGTGTGTGTGTGTGTGAATGGAGGGAAGGGGGGAGAGAATGTTCATTTAACTGACATCTGCAACACCTGAAGTTAATCTGCTTAGTTAGAGAAAGGGCTACAGATAGACACATGCGCACACACAGTGTTTGTTTTTAAATGGTTTTCTGCCCTTATACCTATACACTGTGAAAGACGGAGAACAAAAGTACACTTGCTAAATTAAGAAATAAGCTACAAAGTAACTTATTTGCTCAAATTTTATACATTTCCGTTTTGATTGCTATAGAAACAGGTGTAGAAAAGAAATAAAAAATATTAAGCTTCCAATATAAGAATCACAGCCATTGCTTTATATGAAAATCAAATAACATTTGAAAACATCTTCACATCAGAAGACAATGATGTATGTAAGTGTACAAGTAGAAGCTTGCCAAGTGGTTTTATATATTTTAATTCGGCAATGTCCCAGTTGAGACTAAGTGAATGAATATTTATGGTTT